CCCGATGCGGGACTCGATCCCGGGACTCCAGGATCATGACCTGAGCCGAAGGCAGTCGCTTAACCAACTGAGCCACCCAGGCGCCCCTAAATTGTAGATATTAAGTACAAAAAAACCAAGCTATATGTACTCCAACTTAATGTAAAAATACAGTTAATATGCTATTAACAGCATACTGTTAATATGCTATTTGATGCTTAATTTGTTAAAAATACAGTAATTTAAAAGCCCAGCTTAGTAATTCCACAAATTTATCCAAAACGTGAAGTTAAGATATGGGTTCTTGAGAAGATTTCCTTAAGGAGAAACGCATGGCATTTAGAGTCATAATATATAGAATTCAGGGATTCTGTAACAGATTATCTGAGTTTTAAATGGTGATTTCACACTCACTGGGTGGCCTTGAGCAAGTTACTTAGTTTCTTTGGGTCTCCCTTTACCCATCTGGAATATAATAAGGAAGGAATATAATAAAGACTATAATAGTGACATTTGTCTCATAGGGCTTTTGTGAAAATTAAATGAGGTAGTGCGTACAAAGCGCTTAGCACAGTTTCCAGCACATAATAAATACTCAATGAATACCAGCCATTGCTGTTATCTGTGTTGTTGTTATTCTGTTTATTTGTTCAGCAAATATTTTATTCAGTATCTACTTTGCCTCTGGCATTGTTCTAGGTTCTGGGATTCAGAAGTAGTCACTAAGAGGGCATAGAATGCGTTGGTATAATCCATAAGTACTCTCATTTCGAGATCTTGTAGGTGCCATGACTGGGACAAATGTCATGGTTTGTTGGGGCATGTTGGTAGGGAGAGGTTTTGTCAGCTGGAAGGATGAGAGCGAGTCTGCTCACACAGAACTGGGGGTGCATGGGGGGTGGGAAGGAGCACCTGGCAAGGCCTGAAAGGGCTCAGCCTGGTTCAGAGTTAGAGTGTTCATGTGTGAGTAGAGAGGGTCGGGGGCCTGAGAGAGGCAGGTGTGCCAGGGGGATTGTGTTCGAAAGTGAGGAGCTAGAATTCTGTTTATTTTAGTGATGAAGAAACAGAAACCCACATGCCCTAATCAAGGTCATGTAGAAAATTAGTGATGGGGCCGGAACTAGAAGCTAAGTGTCCTGTGTTCATATTTATGTATTTTTAACTATTAAAGTGTACATACAGAAATTGCACAAATCTTACATAGAATAATTTTCCATGAATTTTCACAAAATGAAGTGCCCCTGTGTAATCACATCGGGAAATAGGTCCTGGTCTGCTCGCCATAAGCTGCCCTGTTACACCCCTACACTGTCCCTGTCCCCCTGAGGTAACATTTATCCTGACCTCAAAGAGCACAGATTAGTTTTGCCTGGTTTTGAATTTTCATGAACTTTTGGATAGAAGCATATGCTATAAACTTCTTTCGGTCTGGCTTCTTTCACTCCACATGTGTCTGTGAGATTCATAGGGGGGGCCAAGAGTTGTTACATTCCCATTGCTGTGTAGGATTTTGTTGTATAAATACACACAGGTTTCCAGTTTTATAGCCCCGTGTGTGTGTGTGTGTGTGTGTGTGAGAGAGAGAGAGAGAGAGAGAGGTGGAAGCTGGATGGTGCTTCCTGTCATTTATGTACGCATGTTACTCTTGCTTATCCTAGTTACTTTTTTTTTTTTTAACCGACGGAAGGTTACATGAAGAAATTTCTTTTAGAGCCTCCGTGTAGACCCTTGGTTGATACTGTGAAAATATAATGCCTAGTTAAAACCATGGCTTGCATGACCAGAGATTGCCCAGTACGCCTCTTTGTTTAACAGGTATTAATCATAAATAGAAATAACTGCAATGAACTTGTCAGATGTTTTTAAATGGTGCTGATCATTGAGCTTTCTGCCTTCTGAAATATCATCTAGGGTATTACATGTTTCTAAGGGGTCGAGGATTATTGGCTCCTTAATTGGGCCAAATAGCCATCATTTATACTTTTTAAAATTAGGTCTGTTTAAATAAGTGATTGATTAATTGGATGAATGCCATTTTCATGTTTACTTCATTCACTTTTTTTTCTTTCTCTCTTGCTCTCTTTTTTTTTGATATTTCAGATGATGTTGTGCCATATTTTAAAACGGAGCCAGGCCTACCGCAGATTCACCTGGAAGGCAACCGCCTTGTTCTCACTTGCCTTGCTGAAGGGAGCTGGCCTTTGGAGTTCAAGTGGATGCACAATGACCGTGAGCTCACCACCTACACCAGCGAATATAAGTAATTGATTGCTTGAAAATAAGATTCCATTTCAAGTTGATGTGTTTAGAATATTTGCCTTATTGACCATAATAGCACAAAGGGTGAAAATATTTGATTGAATTTCTAATGCATTAGAATTAAAGGAATAGAGTTAATTAGAATGTGATTTAATATTCTGATCTACATTGTATTTACACCTAGGAAGTCTATCATTATAGTTGTAAAAGGAAGCCCATTAGTGAAATTACCAGACTAAAAAAAGCTATAGTTACGGAGGAATGCAAGTAACAGCTTTAGCAGGATATATTTGCTGTCTTGTGGCAACAGCCCCACCCACCAGTATTGTTCGTATTTAACAAGCATGAATGTTTAAACAGAGATCTTTAAATCAGTAGCTTCTGGAGCTCTGAGCAGTCAACAGAAAATTTACCTGGCTAACTTTTAGAGTCAGGATGGGAGAAGATGAGGCTTTGGGGGAGGGACATGAGCAGAGTCTCTTGTTCCAGCAGCAAAAAAGGATGTTTACTGAACTCCTGCATGTGCTAGGTGTGGGGTGCCGGAGTGAGCATGATGCTCTGAGGCAGAGGGGAGGCTGAGATGAGGTCACACCTGAGCTGTGGCTTCTCCCAGGACCAGTGGTACCCGCTTGTAAACCTCCTGGTCTCCCTGCAGTACTCAGGTCTTTTCAGGTTTAAATCTGTTTAGCTTCTGTTTCTATGTGAGGGTTATTATAACAGATGCTGTAGTTCTGAGTAGGACAGAGAATTAGTGACTGCCTAAAAAGTCCAAGAGGTCCCCAAATCAGCAATGTCATGCTCTTATTTAATGGAAATTAGAGAATTGGTTGTCCAGAGGTATTTTAAATAGAGTAATGGGCTTCTGAACATGGGGCATAGCCATCACTCACTCACTTTGGAAGTCAGAAGTTAGGGGCATCTGGCTGGCTCAGTCGGAAGAGCACACAACTCTTGATCTCAGGGTTGTGAGTTTGAGCCCCATGTTGGATGTAGAGATTACTCAAATAAATCTTAAAAATTTTAAAAAAATAGTCAGAGGTTATAATATGATGGTCCATGAACCACATCCAGCCTGCCCAGAATGTGGTATGTGTGTATGTACTTAAAAAATCAGTTGAAAATACATGTGGATATACACACAGAATATATTTCTTAATTGCTTGCCAGCATTTAACAATTGTAAGATTTCATATAAAAATGCACTTTCTGGTCCCTCTTGACCAGTCAGAAGGCCTAGCCACCTGGCTCTGCTGCCCCACACAGAAGAACCGTGTTTTGCTCAGTTACCTTATCCACCTGCTCTTTGTAGACATAGAAACTTGTGACCACCTCTTTCATTATTAGGCCTATACTGTCAGAGTATCTGCTGTTGTAGGAGCAATTTATCATAATAGTGTAAGATCATGTTGACATCAACAGACCCAGGTTTGAATAACAGCTCACTCCCAATTAGCATCAGCAATGTAACTTCAGGCAAGCCACCAATACCTGCAAAATGGGGGTGATCATACCTCATTTGTGGTGGTGTGAGCATTAAAAGGCTCTAATGTAGGTAAAATGGTGTATTTTCTGGCCCACAAGCAATCAGCTAATAAATCCTAGTTGACATTCTGTATTATTATAATGAGGTGTTAGGGAACTTGGTTTTGTAGGAGGGGCATAAGAAAGGAAAAGACAAGCAAGCTTAGAAATGAGAACCACGTGTGAGTAGTGGGCTTTAACAGCCAGTACCTTGAATCCAGATATTTCTGTTCAACTTCTGTGTGTGACTTTGGACAAGTGACCTAACCAGTTTGATTTTGATTTTCTCATCTATAAAATGGGTGTGATATAACCCACCTCAGAGATTTCTCATAAAAATGAAGTGACATAATGTTTTGTATGCCCCAGGAAGAAAGGAATGAAGTTTCAGAAGACTCCAGATTATTCTTCCCTACAAAAAGTAGTAATGTGGATGATCTATAATGATGGTCTTCAAATTGGGGAACATGGCCATGGATAGTGGCAAAGGAATTTCTTTTTAGATGTTCAGTTTCCATATGTGTGTTTTCTGAGGTTGAGCTGACTGAGAACATGCCTCTGTGTGGGCACCTGTGGTTCTCTTCCCCTGCCCCTCTTTGTGCTCTTTCTCCCAGTTCACAGAAGGAAGGCTCACTCTCCCTGAGTCCTCTTACGGAACTGCTTCTCAAGGATGCAAGACAAGTGCATGGTTCAGAATATTCGGCTTGAACAAAGTGTTGGGCTCTTTTAAACAACCCCAGAAGAACTTCTTGCCTTTCACATATTCCCTTTAGGGGAAAATAGGACACTAGAAATGGGATATTTTGATCAATTTTGGGTTTTTAAAAATTCGGATACGTTGTATAGTTAGGCAGCAAGAGCTATACCAATTTTAATATCCTCACCTTTTCCATTCTCCAGCTGTTACCAAAGAATATATTGTGCCTCAAGGAACGTGTAATGAGAGCAAAGCAAAGAGTGTGCAAGATAGATCCATGGCAGACAAGGGCATCTTGTTTTATCTAGGTGGCAAACCCACAGCCGCACCCTGGGGCTTGTCCACTTATACAGAGCAGGAGTAGAATATTCAGGATTTGTTAGAAAGAAGAATGAAGTCAAGATATATTCTTTTATGAAGCATGTTCTTTCTGCATTTTACCCTCCTCTGAGATGAGAAGAGTGTGGTGAGGCCTCAGTTGGAGATATCAGGGAGGAGGAGGTAGAAAGTGTTGTTTCCTTCGATCAGATCCATGTTCTATCTTGATATAGAAGGGACATGCACACGAGGAAAGTTAGGGCTTTGTATTTTTCTCAAACATTTACTCAGAAGACACTTTGATTAACTTTTGCAAAGATTATTTGATATTCTAAATCCATATCCATTTTTTATTACTTTCCTGTGTTTTGCTTGCTGCTATGCTTCAACCTCTTCTCTACTTGTTTATTTGCTTGTTCCATGTACTCATTGGATTTAAATGAACACAAATGGCCACAAATATGTTGTCAATACCTTCTCTTTGTTGTTAATTTCTATCCAATTCTGTTTATTCTAGTGGTAAATAACTTCCCATTCAATGAAATGTAATTGAAAAAAAAAAGCCACTTTCCTGTCATTAAGAGACATTTTCTTTTTAAATTTTAAAGGCTTAATAATTATATTTCAGCATTAACACATATATGTTGTTTTGATTAACTGTAATAATTGCAATGAACATGTAATACAGAAGAATTTTTATAAGCACTTAGAATCTTTTGATCAAAGGATATCCTTTTTAAGTTGCCGTTGATATGTGTATTTTTACTTCAGATAAGTATATTGGATAATCAATAAGTATCTTTCAGGCATAAAATATGTTACATTAGAATAAAATTCTATGGGGTAAATAGATTTACAACTCAAGTTCAAAGAGTAAAAAGGAACAGTATGAAGGTTGTATCTGTTAAAGAGTTCATTAATAAAAAATGGATAATGTGCTGGGGCGCCTGGGTGGCTCAGTCGTTAAGCGTCTGCCTTCGGCTCAGGTCATGATCCCAGGCTCCTGGGATTGAGCCCCGCATCGGGCTCCCTGCTCGGTGGGAAGCCTGCTTCTCCTTCTCCCACTCCCTCTGCTTGTGTTCCCTCTTTCGCTGTGTCTCTGTCAAATAAATAAATAAAATCTTAAAAAAAAAAATGGATAATGTGGATTTCAAAATCTTTAGATTCCGTTGGACACATGTAAAACAGCAGTGTAACAGTTTTGTTTTAAAATGCTAAATCAAGGACGCCTGGGTGGCTCAGTCGGTTTAGCTTCTGCCCTCGGCTCAGGTCATGATCCTAGGGTCCTAGGATCAAGCCCCACATCTGGCTCCTTCCTCAGCAGGGAGCCTGCTTCTCCCTCACTCCCCCTGCCTGTGTTCTCTCTCTGACAAATAAATAAAACCTTAAAAAAAAATGCTAACTCAGGGGTGCTTGGGTGGCTGAGTCAATTGAGCGGCTGACTCTTGGTTTCAGCTCAGGTCGTGATCTCAGGGTCCTGGAATCGAGCCCCGCATGGGGTGCCTGGGTGGCTTTGTGCTTAGCGGGGAGTCTGCTTGTGGATTCTCTCTCTCTCCCTTTACCTCTCTCTCTCTTTCACACACACACACAAATAAATAAATCTTTAAAAAAATGCTAAATCATACACCATGCCATTATTATATAGGCAACTATTTAGACTTAATGATGAAACGGTTTTATTGTCCATTTTAAAATATGCAAGGAAGATGCAGCTTTTTTGTGTTGCTCTTTGCACTAGCAGATTTACCTGTTAATTTGGCACACTCTGGATAATCCACAGGAAGACAAAGCATTGTGGGTCACTGAAGCAAGATTGCAGGGGCGGCTCATTATATATGGACCATTAAAATGAGGTACATGCTTCATTCCCATTTCTTTAGAAACTTAGAAGAAATGGGTTATTCTAAAGCAAGAGTGGTTTGGGGTAGATGTGATAAATTATATTCTGTTCACTGAGGGCTTCAGACACTGAGATGGGTTATCAGGGATCCATTGTATTTTGTCATCATTTTTTTTAGATATAAAACCTGTCCAGAAATCTCATGCTATTTTTTTCAAATTACTCTTTCATCTACTTCCTTCCATTAAGCACCTTCAGCTGTCATATATTAACCTTCACGAGACCATTCTCAGTCTCAAATTGAAAAACATGGCTACTTTATGAAAATGGTAGCTGTTTTCTCCCTGAAATGGAGTCTCTCTACCCTCACCCCCACTTTGGTGTCAGTAGAAAATACTAATCCTATAAAGGGCACATAATATAAACTCAGCTTTTCTAGTTTTGACCAACAATAGCATTTTCTTTGCTGCTTGTGTTGCAAACTGCACAATGAATTTCAGTGAGTTTCCGATGTTTTTCATATTGATGCATCATGCATATTTAGGTGCAGGTGACTGTATTGGCAAAATTGTAGTAGTTTAGCAATTAAACCAAGTTTACATAGCTGTCATAGGCAGATTTATCT